GAAAAAAAAGGGAAATCTACAGAGATTTTAGAAAACTGTGTTTTTGGGCCTAGCATAGTAGCCTAACAGCTAAAATCCTCACGTTCCACACACCCAGATGGGTGCCAGTTCTAATCCCAGCAGCCCCACTTCCCAACCAGCTCCCTGGTGGTAGCTTGGGAAATCAATTAAGGACGGCCCAAAGCTTTTGGACCCTCCACGCATGTGGGAGACCCAAAAGACGCTCCTGGCTTTGGATCAGCTAGTTCCAGCTGTTACAGCCACTGGGGAGTAAATCAGCGGATGGAAGATCTTCTGTCTCTCCTCCTCTCTGTATACCTGATTTTACAATAAAAATATATATTTTTTAAAAGAATACTGTGTTTTCATTTGGGAGTATATTCTGGCTAACAAACAAGGTAGTAACAGTTTGGATTTTATTAACAGAATATTGAAGAATGTAACTGGTAGCCCAACTGTATATCATATTGGCTCCCCTTCCTGGATATCTCTATATTTAACTTTGGGTATCAGACACTAACCAGAGGACAGTTAACTGGTGTGCTCAAAAAAGAGTTTGAGATCTAAAACGTCACCACATGAGAGAGTAAGAACTGCAGATGGCTGCCCTTCAGAAGGTTCGAAGGGATCTACAGCAGCTTTCCTCTAAGTAGCTGTGGATGAAAATTTTCCTGTATGATCTTCAGCTGAACTACCACATACAGTTGTCAGGCCATTTCCCATATGAAGGTGCTCAGCTGAGGCAAAGAGAGATGAAAGAGCTGAAACCCAGCTTATAGGCCACATGGCCAGGCACAGGGCAAGGCCAGGTGAAAACAAAAGGGTAAACTCTCCCTAATGCAGGTTAAGACGACAGCTCTGGAAGGCTATTCTCTTTTAGTGAGAAATTTTTTCGTGATTTGCACAAAGGCCAAAATACACTAGTGTTGCCACTGGCTTTCAGGTAGAACAAGGTCCATTAAGAGAAGTTCAGTGATAAAGTACTTTCAGTTCAATGTAAGAGACTGACAGCAATGTATTGTACGGAAACATTTTCTGAAGAATCATTCATCCCCAAAACTGGATGTTCGATGAATAACTCAAAGACTACTCAGTAGGATTATTTTTAGAGAGAATTTTAAAATAAGAAAGAGAGCATGAGCATTATAACCAGGTGGGTATTGAAAGTCAAGAGTCGGGCCTGGCGCGATGGCGCAGTGGTTAAGGTCCTCGCCTTCAACGTCAGGGATCCCATATGGGCGCCGGTTCTAATCCTGGCGGCCCTGCTTCCCATCCAGCTCCCTGCCTGTGGTCCAGGAAAGCAGTCGAGGACGACCCAAAGCTTTGGGACCCTGCACTCGCGTGGAAGACTCGGAAGAGGCTCCTGGCTTCGGATCAGCACAGCACCGGCCGTTGCATTCACTTGGGGAGTGAATCATCGGACAGAAGATCTTCCTCTCTGTCTCTCCTCTCTGTATATCTGCCTTTCCAATAAAAATAAAATAAATCTTAAACAAAAAAGAAAGTCAAGAGTCTTAGCTTCTAGGATTGTTCATATGAACTCCCTATCTCCTTCTTCCTCCATTCTCCAGTAAGTTTCCATGACATCCAAACTTCTCTTCATAAACTCACTGCCCACTGTAGCCTTCCTTCTACCTAACCAACTTTTTCCTCCTGTCTCCCTTTCCCTGCCCCAATGTATAAAAGCACATACAATGTATTTACACTACAGATAAACTTTGTCCTTTAAAAGCTGTTTTACTGGGGCCTGTCATGATGACTCAACAGCTAAACCCTCACCTTGCAAGTGCTAGGATCCCAAGCGCATGCCAGTTCATATCCCAGCTGCTCAACTTTCCATTCAGTTCCCTGCTTGTGGCCTGGGAAAGCAGGATGGCCCAAAGTCTTGACACCCTGCACCTATATAAGAGACCCAGAAGAAGCTTCTGGCTCCTGGTTTCAGATCAGCTTGGCTCCAGATGTTGTAGCCTTTGGGGAATGAACCAATGGATGGAAGATCTTTCTGTCTCTTCTTCCCATAAATCTGATCTGTCTTTATAATAAAAACAAATAGGTCTTTAAAAAAAAAGCAGCAGCAGCAGCTATTTACTTCCGTGGGGGGAGGGCAGTAAAGCAAGGGAGGGCATTAGATCCAACAGTGAGGACATCAGTTACGTTCACATCCCCCAGTGGAGTGCCGGGGTTCAACGTCAGGCTCCTGTCCTCAGTTCCAGCTTCCCATTAATGGGAGGCTCTAGGAGTCAGCAGGTGATGGCTCAAGTGATTGGGATCCTGTCATTCACAAGGGAGTCTTACACCGAATTCTGGCTCCTAGCTCTGGCCCTGGTCCAGCCACAACTGTTGTGGCATTTAGAAAGTGAACCAAAGATGGGAGCATGCACACTTTCTTTTGAAATAAAAACATTACTTAAAATAAGATGAAAACTCCTTTCTCACAAGATTGACTTTCATGTATTTGAAAGGGAAAGTGACACAGAGAGAGGGACAAAGGAGGTGGGAGGGAGAGAGAAGTTGAAAGAGAGTAAGAGGTTAATTGATTTTCTATCTGTTAGCCACAACAGCCAAGTCTAGGACAAGCCAAAGCCAGAAGCCAGAAACTTTATTCCAGTCTCTTACATGGGTTTCAGACATTTCCCAAGCATGTTTGCAGGAAGCTGGATGGGAAGCAGAGTAGAGGAGACTCAAACCAGCACTCCAATACGGGATGTCATATTGCAAACAGTAGTATAACCTACTGTGCTGCAACACCAGCCTCCAAAGCTTACTCTAAAGATTTCTCTTAACTTTCATCAGAAAGAGCTAAGTTCCACTTTTAAATGATACATGTATGAATCACTAGAAATCATAAATTGGGGGATGGAAACTTTTATTAGAAAGGATGTGGAAGGCATCTTCATTATTTATAAAATTACTTATAGTAAACGGATGTCTTTTGGAAAAGAGAACATTTAATATCACAGGGAATGAAATAAACATGGAAATGTCATCAATATAGTATTGATTCAGTTTACATATAGGTACTGAAAATATAATACTGGAGGAAGAGTACTGATTATGGTGAAATGGTAATTATCAAGTAGTAAAGTAAGTAGCAGAGCTGACCAAAGGCAAAAACTTTTTAAAGATTTATTTATTTATTTGAAAGAGTAACAGAGAAAGGGAAAATAGAGAGAGATCTTCCACACATTTGTTTACTCTCCACGGAGCTAGCTCTAAAGCGGAGCAGCCAGAGCAATTCTGACAAGAGATATTGTTCAAAGAGTAGCAACTTAACCTACTGTGCCACAAGGCAAGACCCAAAGACAAAATCTCCACAGAAGCAATACTGTTGTCTCTGGCCTGGCTCCGAATTCTGGTCTTTCCTGTTTCAACTTCTGAGGGGCAGAAACTGAGCCCTCAGCAGGCCAGGGTTTACTCCACTAGCAGCAGACTGAAGACTGCCTAACAGTTAAGCTTACATTCAGCTCTTTGCTTGGTCTTTTTCAAGAGACTAATCCTTTAAGAAAACATCAGTTTTAAAAGCTATCTTCAGGAACTCTGCTCAAAGGAGAAACTGAGACAGAGCCTGCGAGGGCAGGCCGAGAGGCAGATGTGGCGTGTAAGGCTTCTTTCTCATAGGACAGCCTTTCACAGAGAGGTAGATTCAGGGGCAGAAAGCTGCCTCACCATAAGCATTTTCCATTTTTTGAGCAATAAACCTAATCAAGAAGACATATCTAAAGCCAATAAAGGGTTTAACCGTGTAATTTTCTTAAAGCTACACTACAATGCAGTAACAAAAACCACTAGAGCAATATTTCATAAGATATTAGGGGGAGGGGAGAAGGTAGAAGGAACATGATACAGTTCCCTGAGCCTAAGGAAGTGTATGAAACAAAAATTTAAAAAAATATACATATATAGGCAACATCATACTGAAATTAAGACAACTTTCAAAAAACTAAGAAATCAGTAAGATATTTATGAGATAGGAAGAACAATTTGAGCTTAGAAACTGTAAAAACTGTTCATTTTTAGGCAGTAGATAGTTTTGAAAATACAAAATACTTATTTTTATAAATGACAGTTTTAATTTAAAAAAGAAAAATAAAACAGATTTGTAACTAGAGAAAGTTAAAAATAGTGTTCTTTAAGGAATACACTATAAGGAAAACTAACTATGTTTTCCTGCTAGAACTTATACACAGCAGGCACACAAATATTAGATTTCCTTAAAAAGTGTCTTTCCTGCTTTAGCTGCAAACTGCTGACATTTGGCTTTTTAATGTTTTTAACAAAGAATACATTATTGAAACATTTTTCTCAAATATGTGATAATCCTTCTTGGTCCTACTAGTTTTCAGCTTGTGAACAGTGGTGTCTAACTAAATTGTCAACCAGGAATTTTCATTTTTTAATCAGCATATCATTCACTTGTGAACACTGCGTGAAAACTGTTTATGTATAATCCTGTGTTTATGAAGTTATAACTTAAGGGTTGATAAAATCCACATCCAGAGGCACACATAGCAAGACTAACAGCCAAATAATACTCTGAGTTTTAAAGCTGACTGGCTAATGCCAATGTTAGATTACAGAATCTGCTGATTATGCTACCAAGACAAAAAGTTGTGAAAAACAATGGCAACTGAAAAGGCTAAGGAAATTTTTGGGGAAAACAAAAATTCACCAGTTTCACTTAGAATGCAGGGTCCTAAAATTATCCTTCTGCTGGGTCTCTAAAAGTTATTTACACCGAAAGTAAGAATGACAAACACTGTGTTCACTTAGGACAACACCAAAAACTGCTGGCACGCAGGCCAGAACGAGCGCAGGAACAAAGAATCATCTGGCAGGTGCACTTGAGACATCTTCCTCTTCTTGACAAGAAGCCCCAATCCTAAGGCTACTGAAAATTTAACTGAATCAGGTCTTTCTTTTCCAAACTATGCCAAACATTTTAAATATACTATAATGCAGATTCTTAAAAATGTGTGCGACTTAACCAATACCATACTTACATTCACACTGTATGACGTCTAAGTTAAACTGCTGAACAGCTCCCATGCTTATCTGTTTTAATTCACTGTCCAGGAGCATCTGCATTAAGGATGTTGACAGATGCTGGCAGGCTGACATGCAAGCTGTCTGGGCAACCTTCCCCTGTTTAAAATGAACCAACCAGACAAAAACCAAATAAGCAGAAATACGGGATAATGTGTCACAAAACTTATGAACCTAGCGTTTTTTTTATTTCATTTGTTCAACACAACAGTGATTATGAGTCTATGCCTGTGTATTCTGAACAGCTATGACTTTATGACTAGAAAATAAACAAATATTCTTAGTTTCCTTGTCTTTCTCAGAATATAAATATGAAAGCTTTGACTACATTAAATAAAAATGCAAGTTTAAAAAGTATTAATTTAGATCTCTTAAAGTACCTCAAGTAGTTTTTAAATGAACATTAAAAATAAGTGACATTTATGAATCCTACTGAAGGAACGTTTTAGCCATACAGTGCCCCTACCCTGCCATTCTGAAGGTATTTTCATTACTTATTTGAGAGGCAGAAGAAGAGAGAGAGACAGAGAGAGAGAGAGAGAGAGAGCCCATCCTTTGGCTCACTCTCCAGATGTTGGCAAGAGCCCACACAGAGTGCTGAAGCCAGGAGCCAGGGGCACAGTCTGGGTCTCTGACATGGCTGGCAGGAACCCAACCACACCCGAGTTACCACTGATCTGCACTCACGAAGGGGCTGCGGTCAGGAATGAGTTGACCTTGAACTCAGGTACTTTGATATAGGATCCAAGGTTTCTACTTATTCAGCCAAACTTCTGCCCCCATTAAAAGCCTCCTTAAGCTATCCTGAACACATTTAACCAAGCCAGAATAAAGAAAGTAAAGGACATAATTTATATTACTACTATTTAAACTGCAGCCAAATTAAAAAAAAAAAAACAACAACACATTTTGACTATTAGTCTTTACTTCTAACTGCCTATAGTGTATTTTCCACTACTGGCAGGAAAAAAAAAAAGCTTATCTTACCAAGATGACTTCAGAAACATTATAGATCTGTATCTTTTTTTTTTTTTTGCAATTCTTTTTTTAGAGATTATTTATTTATTTGAAAGGCAGAGTAACAGAGAAAGAGATTGAGAGAAAGATCTTCCATCCACTGGTTCACTCCTTAAACGGACACAAAGGCCAGAGCTTGGCTGTCTGGAAGCCAGCAGCCAGGAGCTTTTCTGGGTGCAGGGCTCAGTTCCTTGGGCCATGCACTGCTGCTTTCCCATCACATCAGTACTGTGCTGAATCAGAGGTGGTGCAGCTAGAATTTGAACCAGTACCCACAGGATTGCCAGTGCCACTGAACCACAATGCCAGCTCAACAAACTTGTGCTGCACTTTCAGTTTGATAAATAGCACTGTTATAAAATGCTTTCTGTGATACTAAATTTCTCTAACCCAACTTTCACTGATGGCCTTAATTGAATTTAAATGCTAATTAAAAATTTTGAGCTTCCAGATTACACAGTCAAATCAAAATACTTTATCACTTTTAGTATAACTTTTTCCCTCCCACAGGCTTTTGCATTTCAACTACAGTTTGAAGTTTAAAATAAGATATTACAAAGACTGTTACAGATAAGGCTTTCTAATATAACATCACTCCTATGGTTAACTGCCATCAACAGAGCTTATGTGATCTGGTGACAGACTGATCCCTGATAGGATTCGAAGATCTACAAATGTGATTAGAAATAATGACTTAATTTCACTGTCCAGGAGCATCTGCATTAAGGACATGGAGGGACAAAACGCCATATTTTGTCTCATTTCTATTAACAAATATTTTCCTAGTGATATTTGATTGTTTCCTTCTTATCAGAAAGGCCAATGAAGCCACAAAATCTTAAAACAAATTCTCCAAAAATACACCTGCTAAATAAAATTGGTATAAAAATGTTTACATAGAGTTGACTCATTAGCAAATAAAGAAGCTAAATATATTTTTGAGATACTTATTAGAACATTCTTTAAAGTGTAAATTAAAAATCAGATGAGAAAAAAATGGCCTTTATGAATGAGTCTTCAGCATTTAGACACTACACATAGTGGAAAATTGCATATCTGAAATGGAATGTCAATTTCTCAATCAAGGCTTTAGAGATAAAAGCCAATGTGAACAATATATCTGACAGATACTGATGAACTGCCAAAAAGGAATGTGACAAACAAAGAAACCCCAGCAGGCTGCAGGATCCTAAACCCGGGAGGAATCAGTGTGGGAGACTTGCAGCTCCAGTCCCCAAGCAGAATAATATCAATATGAATGGGAGGGGAGAATTAAGCAAAAAAAAGAAAAATCAATGGCATGCTGTTTAATTATAATGTAATAGGCTTAAGAATACTTATTGGAAATGTCATTCTGACCTAATGGGATGAGTGCATTTTAGTTTAATGTACTTTATAAATCAGCTCTATTTGTAATGTCACCAGAATGTACTAACCGCAAACGCAGATTAATAGATTACCCAGATTAAAACAGGCTAATTAACATTTCTCCCTCTTCCACATTACTTTATGATTGGAGCACCGGGGCTTCTTTCTGTTATTTGTTCATGCAACTTATGCTAGGTTATCCAGATTTAGTCTTCCTACTATGCTGTAAAACACCAGAAACTTATTTTTTCAATTTAACTCTGTTTTGGTATTTATTAACCAAAAGGTATTGAAATAGTACACTGCAGTTCATAAATATGTATTTTTACGATTATTATCAATAAAAATTTTTAAGCTAAAAAGAGTTCATGGAAAATGAATGAAAGCATTTTGCATGGATCTAAACAATTTTGCTCCAAAATAAACTTATCTTTTAATTTTAAAAAGCCTCTAAGCAATTATTATGAAATTCATTTTGTAAGTGAACATATATATACTATAATGATGTTGTTTCAAGAAAACATTTAAAAATTAACATGGTGGGCCCAGTGCAGTAGCCCAGCAGCTAAAATCTTCACCTTGCACGTGCTGGGATCCCATATGGGCCCCATTTCTAATTCCAGCAGCCCAGCTTCCCATTCAGCTCCCTGCTTGTAGTCTGGGAAAACAGTTGAAGCCAGCCCAAAACCTTGAGACTCTATACCCGTATGAGAGATCCAGAAAAGACCCCTGGCTCCGGATTGACTCAACTCTGGCTATTGCAGCCATTGGGGAGTGAATCAGCAGACAGAAGATCTTCCTCTCTGTCTCTCCTCCTCTCTGTATACCTGACTTCCAATTTTAAAAAAATAATAAAATAACTTTTTTTAAAAAAAATTAACATGGTTGGGCCCAGCACAGCAGCCTAGCAGCTAAAGTCCTCACCTTGCATGCACCAGGATCCCATATGGGAGCTGGCTCTAATCCCAGCAGCTGCCCTGCTTCCCATCCAGCTCCCTGTTGGTGACCTGGGAAAGCAGTCAAGGACGACCCAAAGCCTTGGGACCTGCACCTGAGTAGGGAACCTGGAAGAAACTCCTGGCTTCCAGCTTCGGATCGGAGCAGCTCCGGCCAGTTGCGACCACTTGGAGAGTGAATCATTGGATGGAAGATCTTCCTCTCTGTCTCTCTTTCTCTCTGTAAATCTGACTTTCCAATAAAAATAAATAAATCTTTGAACAAAAAAATTAACATGGTTTCAGATGGCACAAATGATTACTTATGAATAGTAATGGTGCTGAAAACCATAGTTAGGAGTACAGATATAGTCTGTTCCATAAACCCAGAAGTTTCAGCGAAATAAACCTTTTTATAGTTTAAAATTTACCTAATGACATCAAAGGTTCAGATATTTTAAATGTTGAAAAAGTTATAATCTAGAAGATAACACATAGTTTTTTAAAAGAACACTTTCTAACTACCAAATGTGTACAAATATTCTTAAGCTTCATCTATTACTTATTTTTAGACAAAAAAAAATCGAATGACCTCCAAATGTACACACCCCAAAATTCGTGTGATAATTTATCTGTGCTACTTCGCAGCCTTTGCCACACCTTGGTACAACCAAATATACACTTCTGGACACTGTTACAAATACTTGTAAGAGTATATCATTTTCTAAAATTAAAACAATATAAGCAATTTTACAATTATTTTTTAAAACTAGCCATGTCTTTTTAAAGTGATATGAGTTTTAACATTGTAACAGCCAAACCAAAATAATTAAGTGAAAGAACTTAGGAAACATAGTATATCTAATAAATTTCAAGTACCTAAAAATTTCTTCTGCCCGCATCTGAAAAATTAAGTTGAAGTATTAACATTTTCTTCCTAACAACACAAAGTTCAATAAGTAAAAACACCTGTTAAACTTTTAAAGGCAACTACTTTTTCAGCCTGCTCTAACATTTTGCTGAAAAACATCTTGTAAAGAGAGAAAACCCTTAGACAAACTTCTTATATTTCAAAGGATCTTGTAAAAGAGAATCTGCTGACATATTAGATCCTTTTTGCATTACCCAAAAGCTTTTCTTCTAAGAACAATTGTGGTAAAGAGACATTTGGCTCCTAGGAAATTCCCAAAGGGTCAACCACATGCATCCTTCCATGGCACCTTCACAGTGCTGCTTTCTAGATCCATGTCTCAAAAGCAGCTTTCATCGTTGACTTGTGTGTCAGTCAATATGATTTATGGACTGCATTCAACAAAGTCAAAGCATATAGAAGGAGAAATATGACTACAATCTGCTAATTTGTTTTGTATTGAGCCACTTAAGAGTCAAAGACCTAATGTCAGACTGAAACCAGCAACACAATTAACCAGCCGGTGACAGATTCATCCATCCTCCCTGCCAGGCTATGCCAATCAAAGACAGCATGAGGCGACGTTTGGTGAAATCAGTAAAAAAAACTCATTCTCTAAGTAACCTATGTGAGGCATTGATTGACACTTTTTGAATTTAGTTTGTAGAACACAGCCACTCTTTACCCAACAGTCCTTCACTGCAAGCTGTGAAATAAGGCTTTTAATGCCAATCACAGAAACAGTAAACCACAAATCACCAACCCTGAGTCTAAAAGGAATTAAGAAAACACAACTGTTTGTATGTCCAGTCAAATTTCCAAAATAATTTGCTATTAGAGATTGTAGTAAAGATTGCCTTTCTTTGAAA